GATGAGCCCAATAAGACAAGGATACCATGCCCTGGGGGCAGGAACAGGAAGCTGGCTGACCACATTTTCATTCACACACAGGAAAGAGAGACAGAAAGTGGGACAAGGCTATAAAACTTCAAAGCCCATCCCAGTGACATATTTCCTCTGGTAAGGCTCAACCTCCTAGTTCTTTACATTCCCCAAACAGTGTGAACAACAGGGGACTGAGTTCAGATACATGAAATTCTGGGGAACATACCTCATTCAACCTACAAGTCCCTTTGACAGCAACTCTTCCTGAGACCCTGAGTACTGGAGTCTGGATCATCTCCAGGATCCCACCCTTTCCTGAATGCTTCTTTCACAAATCTGCTAGAGTTTACATGAGAGATTCAATCTTCAGACCATGCTGACAAGGCTCCACATGCCCTTGGTGAGGCTGAGCACAAGAACTGCACCTATGCTTTTGTTACACAGGCACAGTTGTTGAAGGAAATAGTGTCCCCTGACCCTGTCCAGCCTGGGAGGTCACAGCTTGACATATATAAACAGTGCTATTTCTTTTTCTTGTTACTCTAGCAAAATAATGAACAGACACAAATTAAAAGAAAAAAAGGTCTATTCTGACTTTTGGTATCGGCAGATATCTGTCCATCTAGGTGGTGGGAGCAGGTCATCCATGGCAGCAGGGTGTGTGACAGAGGCTTCTCACATCTTGATGAATCAGAAGGCAGAGGGCTTAGATGGGAACCAGAGGTGCCCCAGTGACCTACCTCCCACAGCTTGACTTCCTGCCCCCAAAGTATCCATAGCTTCCATAGTCTGGGAACTAATATTCCAACACAAGCCTATTGGGGACATTTCATTGCAAACCATCACAGGGCCACTGTTAGACCCTAAGTTAACCTGTAAACTCCACCTGCCCAAAGACCACATATCTTCACTGGAGTGTTGCGAGCTGTGGTTCTTAAAAAATAAGGACAATACCTCATGGGGAAGTACAGTGGCTTATGGATTTTATCCACATCAGCCCCTCAAATAAGTTCTCAGGGCCACTTACTGGAAAGTTCCCAAGAGTAGTCCTGACCAAATTCCATCTTAGTTAGTGTATGAAGGTTTAATAACAAGTTTCTTTTAATTTGGTCAAAATCGTGGAACTGGGCTTTCTCCAGCAAATCTCAGGACTAACGCCTCTCCCCTCACATCACTAGCCATCCCCAGCCTGTCTGACCTGAGGCTGATTCAGTAGGGGTGATACCATGGCTGACCATCAGGTACATCTGTTGCTGGTCATCTGGAGGAGGTCCATCATCCATGACCACTCATTTGGCTCTGACACTCATTTTGAAAAGACAGTATGCTGCCCTAATAGATAATTTCTATAGTTTGTGATCACATCTCTGCCTTCAGCCTGGGCCCTCCTGGCATTCGTTCTGTAAATCACCAGTCTTTTCACTGTGAGCTCCTGTCATCTTCACATCCCTGAGCTGAGGTCATTAAAGGCTGTTGCTGCCAGTGCTATTTATCTTCAAACTTTGCTTTCACTCTGCCTTCCCAGGATTCATCTCTCCCAGGCAAGTCTCCTTTCAATTATTTCAACAGGTCAGCCCCTCAGTGACAATGATCCATACCATTAATTTTGCTCAGGCTGATGTGACAGTCTATGGTAGCCTCGTCTGCCCATTCCAGACCCCAGGATGCTTGAAGGTATAAAGCTCTTCCTTTCCACTCAGCACACGAAGATCAAGATGGTGGTGGTAGTCATGGTGGAGTAGCCTGCACTTGGAGGGGGTATATGAGTCTGTGCAGCTTACATATTTTTAGTGATTAGAGTCTAGTCTCCTCTAATTTATTCTGAGCTCCCCTCCATTTCCCCCCAGATGGTATGGGACACATCATAGTCACTCCATGCTGGTTAAGTAACTGCATGTAGGAATGGATGAATGATTTTCATGAGCCATTAAAGGAATCAATGAGAGAAAATAATGAAGTTTAAGCCTCTAGCCTAGTTCAAAATATCCTTCCTGCTCTGTCCCATGCAGGTATGTCTGGTTTGCTGTCCCTGCCCCACACAGGGCATACAAGCGTCTGCTCTGCTGCAGTCTGAACTTTTGTTACCAGCATCAGCTTGCTCCGATAGCAATCCCCATAACAACATGTCTTGAAATCACCCTAGAGTGAGCTTTTGCCCCCTTGGGCTTCTTCTATAATTGGTCTTCTGGGGTCTAGTACTTTCACAATCTATAAGTACATTTCTTAGGGTGTATTTGGTGAAATGCCATCCAAAGAGTCATCTTCCTGAAACTGGAAAGGATTGTCAATAATTCAGGAAAAAGCTGCGAGTGTGAGCTCTCTTAGATAGTCACACTGACCATTGACATTTTAAGGGCTATGTAGCTGAGAAGTAGCCAAGAGTTCTACATCCTGATCTATAGGCTAGGAAGAGAGAGAAAAACACTCTGGGCTTGGAATGGGGTTTTTGAAACCACTAAGCACACTCTGAGTGACATACTTCTTCCCACAAGGTCACACCTTCTAATCCTATCAAATAGTGCTACCCCTTGTGACCAAGAATTCAAATCTATGAGCCTATGGGAGGCATTCTTACTCAAACCACCAAAGGATGGGAGTTTCAGAAAGGGCTTTGGTTGAAAATCCCATTCCTGACATCAAATAAGGCTCAGCCACATTCCTTTACTGGTCCAAGAATTCATGAAAAGCTGTCTTCCACAGTTTTCCAGAAAGTATGGAGACAAAATCCTGGCTCACAGCAGTATTTTCTCTGCTGGATAAAAGAGCTTGTGGCTCATAATAATGCTTTCTTTTCTATCACTCATGGGCAGCGATGGTGACCAGTACCAGCTGATGGAAGATGTGAATTTTTTTTTTTTTGGAAAATTCCTGCCTGTCTGGAAGGGGGAGATACTGCTTAGTTTTTGTCATCAACTTGATATAGATGGGACAAAAAAACATCAATTGAGTATTTTCTCAGACCATATTTGCCTGTAGACATATCTGTAAAAGACTGTCTTTACTATCCCTTGATGGCTGATATGGAAAGGCGTAGGCCACTGTAGGCAGCACCATCCCTAGGCAGGTGAGTCTGGGCTGTAAAAGAAAGTTTTTTGAAGTTAATTCCTGGAGAAAGTCAGTAGGCAACATTCTTCCATGGTCTCTATTCCAGTTCCTGGCTCTAGATTCCAACCTTGAGTTCTTTCCCCAAACTCCTTTCATGATTGACTCTAATATGCAAGATGAAATAAACCCTTTCTTGATGGGAGATGTCATTCTGTAAATATGTTTCTCTTATTGGTTAATGAATAAAGCACTGTTGGAAAATAGGAAGGCAAGATAGGCAGGACTAAGAGACAAGGAGGATTCTGGGAGATGTAGTAGAGGAGATTCAAGATGTAGGACCCTCTGGTAAGATAAGACCACGTGGAAACACTTAGATTAATAGAAATGTGTTAATATTTAAGACAGAGATAGACAATAAGAAATGCTAGTAACAGGCCAACAGCTTTATATCTAATAAAGTGTCTCTGTGCTATTGGGGGCTGACTCAGCGGGCTGGCGGGAAAACTGCTCATAACACTTTCTTCCCTAAGTTGCATTTTGTCGTGAGTGTTTATCACAACAATGGAAATCAAACTAGAGAAGATGTACAGGGAACAATAGGTAGCACAGGTGCTTGGATACCAGCAGAGAGGAGCACAGGGAGGGGGAAGGAGGAAGGAGATCACCAAGGTCCTTCTGGTCATGTCAGACACTGTACCCTGTGTTCAATGAGAAAGCACAGAAGCATTTGAGATGGAAGATGGAAATCACTTTATAAGTCTGATTTGGAAGTTAACAGCACCAAGCCAGTGGTGAAGGAATTAAAAGCCAGGAAATCATATTGGAAGTTGAGGTAAGAACATGAGGGCCTGAAGGGCAGTAGAGGGAGGGATCTATACACTCATGGGAAGAAGTTAGAATAGTTTTGTTTTTAAATATACCAATAGAGATAAAAGTTGATGCTTACCTGATGTGAAATATGGAGAGTCTCAGGTAGCTGCTAGGTGCCTGGAATTTTCCATATGAAAGCCTTGCAATAGGAAATTAGCATGATGACTTCACAGAGGTATAAACTGTGCTAAAGACAGTAGAAAGATAATCTAGATCAGTGGCTCTCTACCTGACTTCTCATTCACCCTTTCCCAATTGTTTCAGTGCTGAGATTCCAGGCATGGGCCATCACACCAGCTCTAGGTTTAGCTTTTGTTAAATTGTTCTTATTTGTGGCTTTCCCTAGGGTATATTTCTTAGTCCTGGTATGTAATTCTTGTTCCTAAGCCTTGGTCCATGTAAAGTTTGAATGAGACAGCTTGTGGTATTGAACAAACTCTTCTGACTTAATGAGATTTGAAAGTCAGACTCTGATTATCTTTCTGCTTAGCCCTGCCAGCCTCGGCTGCTGTTATCTGTTTGCTGGGCACACTGTCACAGACACAGGAAGTTTAGGAAACATTCAAACTTTTCAAGTTAAATGTGCACATATACGCAGATCCTGTATGTAGAGGCTGCCACATTCTGAGATCCCTCTTCCCTGTCAATGTTTAGCTCTGTTCTGGAAGCTCCACCCTTTGCCCTTCATCACAGGAAGGAAGCAGTTGATTCCACCTGTATTCTCTGTGGGATACACTATTTTAGTAAGTCCCCTGAGAAAAAAAATGTCATGCCAGTCTTTCCTGGTTTTGCTCCTTCCATTTGAGTCCATATCTCCTCTAGTTGATCATTGCTTTTGGTTATTCTGAGATGCTTTTTCTTCCACTTTCCTGGGGATTCCTATACCATCCTCTGACCTCCACCACAGATACTGCACACATGTAGTGCACATATATATAATAAATACATAAAAGTATTTTTTTTTAAAGAATTAGCTTCTAGTTTTTTTTTTTTTTTTTTTTTTTTTTTGCCTAGAGCTCTCCTGTAGATCAGGCTAGCCTCAGATTCACAAGATCTACCTTGGGAAAAGAGTCTGGCAGAGCTAGGGGAGAGCTATGCAGTCGAAACGTGAATGTGAGCAATGGTGTTAGAGGGTGAATCCAGAGAACAAGGCAGCCCTGGAGGCGTGGGTAAGGGAGACTGGCATCCGCCTGGTGCAGGTCAACGGGCAAAGGAAGTATGGCGGACCACCCCCAGGCTGGGTGGGCAGCCTGCCACCTTCAGGGTCCGAGGTGTTTATCGGACGGCTACCCCAGGACGTGTATGAGCACCAGCTGATCTCACTCTTCCAGCGCGTGGGGCGTCTCTATGAGTTCCGCCTGATGATGACCTTCAGTGGCTTGAACCGCGGCTTTGCCTATGCGCGCTATAGCTCGCGGCGTGGTGCCCAGGCCGCGATTGCTATGCTGTACAACCACCAGCTGCGTCCTTCTTGCCAGCTTCTGGTGTGCCGAAGCACCGAGAAGTGCGAGCTGACAGTAGACGGGCTGCCTCCGAGCTTGAACCGCCATATGCTACTGCTGGCCCTACAGCTCCTGGGTCCCTGCCTGCAGGAGACATTGCTGCTACCCAGCCCGGGGTCAGTGCCCTCTCAAATTGCGCTGCTCAAGTTCAGCACGCACCGAGCCGCTGCCATGGCCAAAAAGGCCCTGGTAGAAGGGCAGTCACGCCTTTGTGGAGAACAAGTCGCTGTGGAGTGGCTCAAACCAGATCTGAAGCAGCACTTCCGCCAGCAGCTTGCAGGCCCCTCACTGCGGTTCCTACGGCCAGAGGGCAGCCAAGTAGCCCAGAGCAGGGACAGGCTAGGGTCCCAAGGGGCTAGGGCTGCTCTGCAGCTACTGTGTCAGCGAATGAGGCTAGGCAGCCCAATGTTCCTTACCAAATGTTTAGGCACGGGTCCTGCTGGCTGGCATCGCTTTTGGTACCAGGTTGTAATCCCTGGTCACCCAGTGCCTTTCAGTGGCCTCATTTGGGTTGTGCTGGCCTCTGATTGGCAGGATGGGCATGAGGTGGCTAAGGATGCTGTGTCTGCGCAGTTGCTAGAAACACTGAGTGAGTCTAGGACCAGCTTGTGGTCTCCTAGGGCTGAAGCAGGTATTGTGATTAAGCAGTGACCCTTCCCCCTCCTCTTAACAGGCAGCCTAAAAGAGTAGGCAGAACCTATGTCAATCCCCAGCCCAGCAGGTCTGGGCAGCAACTACTGACTGGATCAAGAGATAGGGGCCTGGTGATAGCTTTTTTGCTGGGGCGGGACCCTGTCACACCTAAGTGCTACTTTAGTTGTGAGGAAACTTGTCCTTCCCCCATTGAGCCTAGGATCAGATTTGACCTCTGACTTAATATCCTTGGCCAATTCCCAGTTTGACAAATAATTCATTATACCCACAAAAGCTTACTATGAATCTTTGTTTTTATTTGGAGAACTGGCTGAGCTAAAGGGCCCCTCCTTGTTTTTGTTTTGTTTTTCCTATACTGGTTATATGGTTATATTTATATTAAACCCCTGGTTGTTAAAAAAAAAAAAAAAAAAACCAAGATCTACCTTGGTCTCCTGAGTTCTGAGATTAAAGGTGTACCACCACACCTGGCTTTTTATTTTTTGATTGTATTGTGTGTGTGTGTGTGTGTTTGTGTGTGTGCGCGCGCGCACGTGTGTGTATGTGTGCATGCGAGTGTGTGCATGTGTGTGAACTGTGAGTGAGTAAAGAGACCAGAAGAGGGCATCAGATCTTCTGGAACTATAGTTATAGGCAGTTGGTGAGCTGCCCAGTGTGGGTGATGGGAATCAAACTCAGGTCTTCTGGAAGATAAGTAAATGCTCTTAACTGTTGGGCCATATCTCCAGCTCCCCAAGTCAACTTTAATTTTTTTTAAATTTTATTGTTTATTTTGATAAATGTCTCCCTATATAGCCCTGACTTATTTAAAATTTACTGCAACCTTCCAGCTTCTGTTTCCCAAGTGCTGGTATTACAGCTATGATTCACCATCAACTCTCCAAAGCAAACTGAAATTCGTTCTGTTTCACCCAGAACAGGAATAGTTCTTACTAGCATATCAGTCAAGGGCCTAAATGGAATTTTCCTACTACATCACCCAAACATGAGAAGATAAACTTGGCCTTCCTAAACATCTTTTTGATTAAACACAATTAAATCAACCACATCAATTCTCAGTCTGCAGCTAAGAGTCTTTCCTTGGTACTCTGCAATCATTTTTCTGTCATTTCCTGTAATGAGTGGATGCAGGAACTAGATCAACAGCACTGATAATAGTGGACTATGCATTCTCAACCAGTCTGTAATCAAGCTCTACCTTCCTTCCCAAGTGGATGGAAACTCTTTATGGATGCTAATGTTTTCTGTGTCTCCTCTCTGAATTGGGCTTGTTCAATCTCAGTCTCTGTCTACTGGACAAGGGGTAAAGTTTGAGCAATGGGTGAGGACAGGCATTCAGTCTGCTTTCTGATTGCTACTGCTAAGAGTGGACTTTAAAGGCATTTCCATGGTCAGATATCTGCCTGTGTTGGTTTAGAAAGACAGGATGCTTTTCTTCTGAAAACTCAGTCCCTAGTGTTCCCTAGACATTTTAAAAATAGTCTCTGAGAACTCATATTTTTCCTCTTCTAATTGTTGTTGTACTTGAATTTTCTTGTGCAGATTTCAAACATAAATGGTACTTTTAAAATGGATTCATCTCCCCTCTCCTTTTCGACTTTTCCTGTTTATGTAGCTACAGTGTGGCTTTTTCCGTAGTACAGTCAGACTCATAATGACAAATATTTTTGGAAAGCAAGAAACTGACATTCTAGACCAGATACAAAGCCCTATTGTTCATAATGCCTGTTTTCCATCACAGCATAAGTCCCATGTAGGAAGATTGGTCACCATTGAAATCACAGCATGAGGGAAAGAATCAGCAATGTAGAATAACATTTTAAAAAATGCATTTAAACATTACTTTTTAATTTTTGATACAGGGTCTCATGATGTAGCCCTTGCTAGCCTAGAACTGGCTATGTAGACCATTCTGGCCTCCAATTGAGGGAGACCTGCCTGTCTCTGTCCCTGAGTGCTGGAATTAAAAGCTCGAACCATTGCATTTCCCTCATCTCATCTGTCTCTTTTGTGCTTTACAATGAATTGCACTCTATTTCCCAGACTGATTTTGAACTCATGATAATCCCTCTACCTTGCCTTTTTGGAGTTCTGGGATTACAGGTGTGTGCCACCAGGTCTGGATTTGCAGAACACTTTGAATAAGAAATAAGGTCTCATTATATTAAGATTTTGGAGCTATTCACTACCACATCAGAATCATAGACTAAAAATATCCAAACAGTAAACATATAATTTGAACTGTTTTTGAGAAATGCCTCCACTCATATGGACAAATGTAATTGAAGAAATGATCATCACAGTCACTCTAGGAAGAAGTTCTAGTGCTGTTTATTTAGAGCATGCCTTGAAGGTGGGTTTAAAAGCATCCACAAAACCCAGATAAATGATTAATAGGTATATATTAGGGGACCACTCACACAATTATGGTAAATAACTGCCACGGTCTTCCTGCTCCTGAAGACGCACTCTCTGCTCTTCTGGATGTTCCTACCACAGCCGAAGAGAGAGAGAGCAAGCCCCTCCTCTTCTTTATAAGGGGTCATGTCTGTACACCTGAAGACACAACCCAAGGATGCTGCCATCACCACAAATCCACTGGCAGAACAAGATGCTACTACAATGCCTTCTCCAGAAAAACCACCCACTCAGTTTCCTTTATAGTTAGTATTTCACTCAGTTCTAGAATCTCACATAAATAGGACCATAATGTAAGCATTTTTTCTGGCTTTACCCACTCAACAAAATATTTCTGACATTTAGCAACACTGAGAGCATTTCTTGGGGGCCAGTTCACCCCAACTTCAAACTCTTTTGAAGAGCCCCTATGTGTTTCCAGTTATCAATATTATGAATTACATTCCTATGAACATGTGGTTGAAAGGAAGTTTATGGACATATTTCTTCATTTTTCTTGAATAAATGCTTTATTGTATGTAGTATTGCTGAATCATAGGTATATGCTTAACTTTCTTAAAAGGTTAAGGGATTCCCCAAATGGTATCTAAACAAGTCTGTCACTTATACTTCTACTAGTCACACATATGCATATACATTCTCACCTGAATTTGACTGTCAATTTTTTTTTCATTTTAGACATTCTAATGGGTGTGTACTAGTGGATCACTGCAGTTTTCCCTTTTATTTCCATGATAACTAAGAGTGCAAAATTTGTGTGTGTGTGTGTGTCTAGTGGCCATTTGTAAGTCTTCATTTAGGACATAACTATAGTTTTAATCTTTTTTAAAAAATCATGTCTGTTTCATTATTGAGTTATAGAATGTATAATATTGTATCCTTCCTAAGAATCTTTGCCATATTAAGGTCATAAATGCTTTCCTCTGTGTTTCTATTTATAAGTATTATTGCTTTTTATACTAAGACTAATATTTATTTTTGGTTAATTTGTACTTCCCATTTAGTAGCTTTTGCATTGTTCAATATATGTGTTGGTCTGTTCTGGGCATTTAAATTATTTTCTATTGATTATATGTGAACATTGCTTTACCAAATATTTGTTTTCTTAATTATCATATATTATTATTATCATCACTATAGAATGTTAAGTCAGGTTTGAAAGGTCTTCTCACATTTTTTTTCAAGATTTTATTCTTGGTCTTTTGCATTTTCATATAAATTTAAAATCAGCTCTGCTTTTGTTTAACTTCCAAAAAGTCCTGCTTAAGGCTTGAGATTGCATCTGGTCTATAGACAAACTTGAAGGAAATTGTCATGTTAATAATAGAATCTTGTAGTCCATAAAGATCATCTCTATTTACTTATGATGTCAATATTTTTTCCTAGCAGTGCTTTCTAATTTTCAGTAGAAATTTTAAATGTATTTCTTAAATGTATCCCCATTTTTTGTATTTATTCTGCTTTAATGGGAAATTTTAATTGGGATGTTCGAAACTATTACTGCTTTCAGAATTTAATACATTTGAACTTAAGCCTGTGCATCACTTCCCTTTTACCCCTTTAACTTTTCTTATGCAATTACCACATACTTACCCATGTGCTTTCCTCTTTGTCAGTCTCTGATAAAATCTTGTTTCTTATACCAGTGCTTTCCCACCCTGGGAAGACTTTTCTGATAACTCATTCTCTCCATTTATAACCAGAGAGATGGATAAGATCTGTTCCTGTTCTCAAGAAACTTCAGTTGTAGGAGAGTAGGTACACAGACAGTACATACTATGAAATAGACACTGTCATCTATAAGCTACTGGTAAAATGCAAGGCTTATTTAGCAGCAGAAGGAATTTATGCCAAGGAAGTTTTCCTGGAGGACTTTCCAAACAGTAATTGTCAGGGTCTGCTAGCACCTTTTAATCATTGTTTGTATTTCACATTTACATTGCATGCTTTATGATTTGCAGGGTTTTGGATTGCTTTGAAGTCCAATATGGTAGCAATTTTCAGAATGTTGTGTTGTGTATCTAAGAATATCTTGAGATGCTTTCTGGAAAAAAAAATTAGATGTTGAGACCTGGTTTCTAGGAATTTTGGAAACGTAGGTGGTAGGAGGGTTCTAGGATACAGAACTCTAAGAGGACTGTTTCAGGTTTGCTAGATACAATCCCATGACGACTGGCATATTTTTAATTTCACAATTGTTATTGAGAGCATAGTAGGTTGTTTAATGATTCGGTGCAAAAAGACCAGAATCTTAGTGAGATCCTTGTGATTTTTAATTATTATTTATTAATCAGGATGTTGCAATATTATATGACAAGCATATGACAAAGTCTATGTATTCCTTTTGGTCTTTCTTTTTGTCATACTTTGATTTCTGTTGCTGTGATAAGCATTATGCCCAAAAGCAAGATAAGTAGGAAAGAGTTTACTTCAACTTACATCATGTGGGGAAGCCAAGATAGGAACTCAAGACACAAAGTTGGAGGCAGGAATTAAACAGTGACCACAGAGGAATGTTGCTTACTGGCTTGCTCTCTTGCACTTGTCCAGCATCTTTCTTATACAGCTAGGGGCCCACTCATCTGGGGATGGTATCACCCATGGTGTACTGGGCCAGCCCACACTGATTAACAATCAGGAATATGCTCTATAGATGGGCCCACTAGCT